GTTGCCGAAGTATGCGAACCAAGATGGCGGATATCGGAACGTAACATGGGTAACAGGTTAGGGTTAGGCGATAATTTCTCTCCAATTTTTCTTATTTTAGCCCTATTATTAGTTCGAAGACTAGCCAAGAGCCTCCCGTAGTATTTATACCTAAAATTATGGCCTAACCCAAACCTAGTACACATATTACATTCCGATGTCCGCCATCTTGGTTCGCATACTTCGGGAGCCCCCTATTTTGTTGTCTGTTACAGAGGTAGTTTAACAATGTATCTCAGAATTTATTACATTATATCCATAGATTACTGCAATATTCCCCGAACTTTAAATCACAGGCTGCAAAACGTAAAACAGAGATCATTGCAAAATAGGCTTATCCGCGCCGGGCGGCTCGCGGCAGTGAGTGATAGGTTGAGTGATCATACAGTGGTTTTTGTTCAACGACGACCGTGCGTAAGATTTCGAGAGAACTTGCGTGACCGTGCGTAAAGTTTCTACGAGATGTTTCGGGAATCGCACTTAACGAGATTTCGTAACTGCGTTTTTGAGAGACAAGGTTACGTGCTCGTAAACGCGGCTTTTTACGAAGTTTGGCGAATGGGGCCCCTGGTTATGTGATTTTTGTCTACAACCGAATTTGTTAAGAGCACGCTACAGCTACACACTGGATCACTTTCTTCAGTTATTTCGTCATTCTCAGCCATTGGTGGGAGACATTCGTCTGCGAAAAAAGCTGTTCTTGGATATGAACTTTATGCTGCTGCGATAGATGTGAAGTAAATGAAGAAACTTTCAAATACTTATTTCTGCAATTATTAAATGGGCAATCAATTTGAGAATTTTCTCTCATGTGTTGCTTCAAATGCTCAAGAAGATTATTGTATGTATCAAAAACTTTCCTACAACCTTCCAAGGAGCATAGCAAATCCACATCCGCCAGATACTGTTGAGGCACTTGTTAGTGAGAATCAGGGTTGCCAGACCCAGGCGATAAAAAAAAAGCCAAATCTATGGAACGAAAAAGCCAAAAATTTTACTGATCACAAAATTTGTTTAAAAAAAGGTAAATTTGTCACATCAAAATTTCTTCTTCAAATAGATTGTCCTCTTCATTGATAGCAGATTCATCGGACAATTTCGTAGAATATAAAATTTTTAGAATTGAATCTGTTCAACATTTCGGCTGAGGGGACAAATTCCCTGTAGCACCTATTGAACGATAAAAGATCTGCTCTGATTCGTATTATTGCCTCCAACAATTGTAACTGAAGCCTGTTTCTTGCCTTCGTCTTTATGCTAGTTAATAAAGAAAAAATCCTTTCCACTACGGCATTGCTAATAGGTGTTATAAGGCAAGTTAATGCAAATGTGGCGAGCTTTTTGAATTGCGGATTTTCTATTACTCCTTTCCAGAATTGCTCAGTGTCTCGGGGTAGCCCCTTTTCTCTGAACTGTTTTTCTTCCTTCCAATCAATAAAAGGTAATTTCCTGTACTGGTCTTCACTAATAGTCTGATGTTCCCCGGTAAGGTGCAAAAACGGCAACTTTGAAAATATTGGCCTCGAAACCTGGTTCAAAATTATTTCGGGACTGAAATTAGTTAGATCTTTAAACAAATTTCTTGATGAAGGAAGTCGCTTTTTAACTTGATCAAGGGCTTCTTCAAGAATGGATAAACATCTTTTTTTAATGGACAAAATAACATGTTGGCATTCATTGGTGTTCAAATTCTTCCTAATATAGACATCACACCCTGCCAGGAATTTGGCGCCAAAATCGATTTCATAAATATATTTTTTCTTATTGTCAATATCATATATCTTGCTACTTAGACTTTTATAGTGCATTAATAACTCATCGTGTAATTCGTGAGGATCTGCCTTAGTTTTCTGAAAGAGGCTATTCAATTTCTCAAATCCTGCACTAGAGGGGTTGCAAAATGACAATATAAATAGTTTTTCTGATCTAGAAGCATTTCCTTTATAATTCGTGCCTTATATTTACTTACAAAATTTCCTTGAGCTAATTCAGCTGAAATAAAGTATGCTTTGAGCTCTTCCCAATTAATCAATATATTGAACATCACTTTTCCTCGGACAAGCCAGCGAGTAGAAGACGTTTTTTCAAAAGGAAGTGGTGCTGTTCTAGCTATCTCAAATTCTGTTGCAGAGTTCATAATCTTAAATAAATCTTTAAATGTTTCTCGTCTCAAATTGCTATATCGAAACCAATTTGGTATCTCTTTCAACAAAAATCCAATGCTCGAAGGTAATTTTGGTACCGCATATTTGACACACAACGCTAATGAATGACAAACGCACTTGTATTTTGCACATAGATGGGATACATCTTTAATTTTGGACCAAACTGAATTGTTGCACCCAACCATATTTCCGGCACCATCTGATGCGAAACCAATGCAATTTTCCAAGTTTTGATTGCAGCTTTTTATCTCCTTGTTAATCAGGTTGAATATGTTATCTCCAGTGGCTTCTTGGACTGGAATCAAACTTAAAAAACTAGTAGTAATTTGATTTGTTTTATCGTTGAGGTACCTAACTAAAATACACAAATACTTCTGAGTTGAAACATCTGTGGATTCATCAACGATGAGTGTATACTTTTTGTTTTGCAGATTTCGAATTAGATCAGATTTCAATTCTGGTGAAATAACATTTTTTATTGAGGCTATACACTTTGTCCTGTGTAATTTTAAATGACCAAGAGTGCTGCCACTTCCATGGGATACCATTATTTCACTTCACTCATGTGATCAATGGTGCTTATGGCACTATGGCAGGACATGCTAACAGCAATTTGTAGTTCAGCTATTTTGACTTTGTCATCAATTTTTGTTCCCATTGTTTTTACTGGAAGGGTTTTTTGTGAAGAAGATGGTGTATTCCTCTTGTGTTTTTCAGTTGCCTCATGACTTGTCAGATTGGAAAGTCTTGACACAATAGTACATCTGCACAATTTGCAATATGCTGAGTTGAAACCATCAGTTGATCTCCCATTGAGAATTGTATTTTCGGTTGCTATCAAAAGTTGATTTCCACTTTGGCATAATGCAGTAATGATAGATTTAAATGTAAGAAGTAAATATTGAACGTGAGAACCCGAATCACCCGACAATAAACATCAAGCTGACATCTAGACTATATTCATATATTATTTGTGAAAATATCTAAAGACCAAATAATAAAGAAAAATATTGACCGATAGCACAGTTTTCCACAGTTCAATATATACAATACCTGGCGCCGCTTGATTGGATCTAATCTACCTTAAAATTTTTTAAACCTAATTTAGATATAGAAAAAATTTTGATGCAAACTTCAGAGTGTTTTGGGCATTTTAGGTTTTCAAAATGAAATACATGTTCTAAACTATCACCAATATTAAAATCATCCAACCATTGACCGCTTACAGGTTACAGCGCTCAGAGCTGGAGAAACTAATTTTGATTACCGTACTGCAACTAAACTAAAGCTCCCGGAAGACCTAATCCAGTAATCGCAATTGAGTTATTTGATTTACAAATATTTTTTGAGAAAACAATTTAAAAACTGACAAATAACATGTAAAACTATAAAACGAGGCAAAGTTTACAGCCATAGGGCATATGCTAACCGAGTATTTGCCTGAGCAACAGGCGCAAAAGTTTCTAAGCGTCTGCAGAAATTCCCATTGTTACATTATAGTCTATTAAATCCTGATTGGTTACGAAAATGAAAAAGGAAATTGATGCTTGGGTAAACATTCAAATATAAAGTACCGTAACTAAGCAATAGACTATTCTTGTACACTGAATATAGATTTCTATGATTTCAAAAAATGACATTGGCATGGTCATAAAAAAGCCAAACTGAAAATCTGACGCCAAACGTGTTGAAAAAAGCCAGATTTGGCAAATTTGGCGTTAAAAAAGCCAATCTGGCAACCCTGGTGAGAATCATAACGTGTTTCTAATTTGATGACGTTTTATGTTGTTACGCAGACTTTGCAAACGTATCGACGCAGCATTATTGCGACATAGTCCTGTTTAAGAAGCCTTCGAGAGATTTTCACTAGCTGTGGTGAGACCCCATAATGTCGCTTCTTGCTTGAAAATCAAGCAAGCGGCACGAGATGTTTATGGCATGTTTATCATTGTGACGTCAAAAAAAAACTGTCTGCATTTCCGCGCGCCGAGATACGGTAAATACGCGGGCTTCGAAGAAATGCTGTGGAACGCCGGGATTTTGATACCAAGGGGTTTTCTGTGGGGTAGGCTTGTAGTCTATGTTGTTTCATCCTGAAGATTATCGTACATCCTGCAGTAAAGTTATAATTCCCGTAGTTTATTTACCATGGCGAAGAAGCGACAATATGAGGAAGACTATTTGAAGTATGGTTTTACATCCTTGGTCATCAGTGGTATTGAGAAGCCGCAGTGTGTATTGTGCAATGTCGTTCTCAGTGCTGAATCCATGAAACCGTCCAAATTGAAACGTCATTTGGAGACTAAGCATTCCAAATTCACCACGAAGAATTTAGAATTTTTTTGACGACATGAAGCCGCTATAAAACGTCAAAGTCTTGATGTTTCAGGGAGCTTCTATCAAGAAAAACAGGCCTTAGTGCAAGCTTCCTCTGAGGTCTCTCTGCAAATTGCAAAACAAAAAAAAAACCTCACACAATTGGAGAAGCTCTTGTTAAGCCGTGCTTGTTGAAAACTATGAAATTAATTCTCGGAGAAGACAGCGTGGCAAAAGTAAAACAACTTTCCCTTTTCAACACTACTGTGGCTCATCTCAGATATGTCCGAAGATGTCACAGATTTGGTGGTAAATGAAATTAAAGCTTTTCCGATGTTTTCATTTCAGGTTGATGAATCAACAGACGTTAGTTCATGCGCCCAACTGTTGGTTTTTGCAAGATAGATTTATTCAGGGGACATTAAAGAAGAATTCCTCTTTTGTCATGAGCTTGCCAGTACAACTACAAGCATAGATATTATGGAGAAATTAAAAATATTTTTCGAATCCGCAAATCTAGAATGGAAACGTGTTTGTGGAGTTTGTACTGACGGAGCTCCGGCCATGCTAGGGTCACGTTCGGGGTTTCAAAAGAAAGTCAAAGAACTTGCTCCTGAAGCCAAAGGTACACACTGTGCCATTCATAGATACGCACTTGCAAGTAAAACTTTGCCAACCCCTCTGCAAAATGTACTAGATTCGGTAGTAAAAATCGTAAATTACATCAAATCCGGAAGCCTCAACACACACCAGTTTGAAGAACTTTGCAAAGATATGGATTCGACCCACGATGTTGTATTCTTCCATATAGCTGTGCAGTGGTTGCCCAGAGGAAACGTTCTAAACCGCATTTTTGCGATGAAGGAAGAATTGAAGTTGTTCTTTGCGATGAAAAAAACTGAATTTCTTTCCTACTTCAATGATCAATTGTGGATGAATAATCTTACTTATTTGGCCGATATTTTTGAAAAACTGAACATTTTAAATCTGAAGTTACAAGGGAAGGGTGCAGACATCATTCAGCTCAATGATCATATGAGAGCATTTGTCTTAAAGTTAAAAAACTGGCGCCGGAAGGTATCTGAAGGGAACTTTGCGATGTTTGATAGATTATCAAGCGTCAATGAAGATTCGGAAATCTTACAAGAAGATTTGAAAAACTGTATTGTAGTAGAGCACCTTGATTCATTGCAGTCAGAATTTCAAAGGTACTTCCTAGACCTAGAAGAAAATGACTCTACGCTGACACGTAATCCGTTCTCTTCTTCTCTGGACGTAACCGATGTACCAGAGAAAGTGTAAGATCAATTTCTTGATCTTCGTTGTGATTCAGTCGCACGTGACCTCTTTTGTGAAAAATCACTAGCCCAGTTCTGGTGCTCCATGTATGAATCTTATCCACAACTGGCTGAACTAGCTTTCCGAATTCTGCTACCTTTTGCGAACCTGTGCGAAAGCGGCTTTTCAGCTTATCTTCATATAACAACAAAGGCACGAAATCGAATTAAAGTCGAGGATGTCAAAAACTCAACCACGAATGACGCAGTTGGCTACGCGCTTTCAATGCCAGCCCTCACACTGAGTAAAACTGCAGCTTGGTGAAAAATTGAATTACACAATATTCATTTAGTCGCTCATTTTATTGATAAGTATAGAAAGTGAGGCGGGGGGTTGCGAGGTATGTGTAAACCACCAAAGGGGGTCGCGAGCCAAAAAAGGTTGGGAACACCTGTCGTAAGCACTTGACGCACGGTCACGTGCGTTTTCTCGAAATCTTACGCACGGTCGCAGTTGAACAAAATGCTCTGACTGATCAGACAGCCGTATCAGTTGTCACCGCTTACGGTCGAGCGTGTTTCGCGGTAACCTATCGGTTTTCTCTGCTTCACCTTTGCAGCCTGCGTTTTGAAATTTTGTTCATATAGACTAGCAGTGGCGTAATGTATACACTGACGGATATGCTACATGGAATAGATGCTGAAGTTACATATTGTGAACTACTTGTGTAACAGACAATAAAAAAGTGAGTTGACAAAGCTTATTGTGATTCCATATTTTTAATTTAGTCTGTAGTCCTCTATTAAAGTTCTTGCATCTAGCGGATTTTTTTCTTTCGGATACGACATGGAGATTGTTGGGGCTTTTCTTCTGCAAGCTTCAATTCAGGCAGCCATTTGTGAATCTGTGTTTATAATACTGTAGGCCAATGCTAGAATAAACAAAAAACAATGACTTCAACAACTGAACAATCTCCGAATCTCAACCCTAGTTTAATCTGTAAATGCGGCAGATATTCCACAGCTAAGTTAACGGCACTAGAATACATACACCTGAGTAACGCCTTTTGATACTATGCCAAATTTTACAAAGTATGCTAATGTCTCAACGAGCCTATTTTAACTTGAATCACTGCTGAGAGCAATCCGAAATGTTAACGAGGCGAAGATTGTCCTCGTTAGCTAGCGAGCTCTTCAGCGCGTTAAAGAACTTTGTGCTGAATACCGATTCTTGGTATAATGGGAGAAGAATTCACTTTACGAGACGTCTCATTTGGCGCCAAAAAAATTCTCTCGGATATTTACGAAGCTCTGTGAATACCATTTTTGCTTTTCACGATAAGTCGGTGCTTAACTAACACGTTAAACGGTAACGAAGCTTTGTGAATGGGGCCCCAGATCTGCCTGAATTATAGAAGAAAAATTTCAAACTCACCTCGTCTCATTTCCGCAAAAGTTCTCCATCAGACCTGGCACGGGGAATATGTAGGACATCAATTCACTTCGTTCGATGAAATCACAAGAGAAGAATATCGATTGGCAACAACTGAATCTGAAACGAAAAAAGACATTAAAAAATATATGGGAAACAAATGGAGCCTAATTTATGAACAAAATCAAACGGCATCTCAGTATAAAAAAATCTTTCCCGAATTTGATCCTAAATATCTAACAACGATCAATGAAACTCGAGAACAAACTATGAACATATTCAGACAACAAACACGTCATTGTAAATTGAATAAACATTTTTCAAAATCAATCGAACAATTAGAGACAAACGTGTCCAATGTACTGACCCAATAGAAGACGTAGAGCACTATCTTATACAATGTCCAAAGTATGAAACTTATAAAAAATTGACTAGAAAGAATGCAAGAAAACTGAATGTGACCTTCAGTTCTGTAGCAATATTGGGACAACACAAAATGAGGCACTCTATAAATATATTTGTAATACAAAAAAAGAAGACAATTTTTTTTTAATTTAACTGTATATAACATTTTAGCCTATTCCTTTACTATCTCGTTCTTTATACTGATATTTAAAGTCTATTTCATTTTCACATTTAAGTCAGTACACATAAATATTGTATTTCTTTTATGACTGTACATTGTTACTCACTTAATGTATTTAATTTTTACTATTTATATTTGAATTACCACAATTACTAGCATAGTTGGTTGATATTACAAGCACCAAGTCGCCTCAGGTCTGCAGGTGCAGGTCTATCATCATGGGCTAATAGACCCCCCCTCCCCCTACAAGATACACGTATGACTACTGCATGTTCGACAGCGTGCTTATGGAGCCTTATACCGTTATGACTCGGACATGACGTATTAATGTAATACTGATTAACGAGGAAGATTGCACTCTGATTCGTCATACAAAAAAAATGGGCTAATACCATCAATCACCCAAGGGAAATGATGAAACGAGAGCTTCACATAAGATTGCCGGAAACGCAACAAAGTGATTACTTGAAGCACCGTTACGATTCGGATATGACATGCTCATATTATGAATATTGATACAAATCAGATCGTAATCTAATCCGTGAACGAAAACAAAAATCCTGGGCAACTTACCTTCCATACAAGGAACGAGTCGTCGGTTGTAACGTTTTGAATCCATACTTTGTTTTATTTATTACTGTGCTCCGTTTGAACGAGATTATTCCATGTTCGATTTCTCCCATTGTTTCTGTTGGTGTGTCGCTCTGCATCAGTAACGTTCAGTCGTTAGACCTAAATTAGGCTGTTCAAGTAAGCCAGAAATGGAAATTAACAGTTTTTTATTTTTATTATTTCAATACTCTTAACATGGTCTAAAATTTGGACTCTAAATAGTGCACATCATAAAGGATATTAAACGATCCATAATTTATTGATTTGTTGCCGTACTGTAATTACTTACCTATGTACCGGTAGCTAGTCCAATAGTTCAGTCAGTCAGTAGTTATACACACCCTACAGTCCTATCTCAATACGGTACTTTAACATAGCCTAGTTCTTACAATTTTCCATTGAGTAAATAATGTGCTATCAATCTGTATGTTACCTATAATTCCGAATGCGACCAAAGTATTTATACTGAGCATTAGGGTACTGGTACTTACCTTCCGACCAAAGTTATCCTATGTGACGTGGGTCGCCTCCATGGTAACCACTTGTAACTGTACACAAGGAACCCTCATGCGGTGCATAATTTTGAAATCACATTTGTGTTGTAGATTTGATGATAAATGTACTAACTTATATTTATGTAAAGTGTGAATATTACTTGTTCTGCATGGAATGCATTCATTGCGAAGTGCTTATAATACATAACAATAAAAAAAACTTTGTTTCTTTATTTTTCCTTTATCTAGTTTTCCGATATTCTAAATTTTTTTTAAATCTCAGCTCTTTATGCCATTTGACCAGAATGCAGCCCTATACAAGCAACAACTATTATGAAAGTAGATACGGGATAATTTTCTTTACAGTTTAAGTTGAATAAACTAAATAGTAATTTTTATACAAAATTCCAAACCCGACCGAATATAGATTTGTGTGTATTTAGACTTAGTTATTTATATAACCTTTATTTATATGTTACCTTTGTTTATATGTTATTTATATGTCCCTCCGTGGGCACGATGAACGGGATGGCTCTTCTAATAGAGGGGTATTTTTGGATATGGTGGAATACACCGCATCCCTAGATACAGTATTGAGAGATCATCTTGATGCCGCAACTGTTTCGAAAGGGACATCTAAGGATATCCAAAATGATTTGCTCGACTCAATGTATAAAATTTATTTACAACATTTGGCTCTGGAAATTGCCAGTTCCTTTCGATTCAGTCTGACGAGACAACTGACATCACGTGCGTTTCTCAACTGGCTGTGATTTTTCGGTTTGTGAAAGATGGTAAATCTACCGAGAGATTTCACAGCTTTGTACCAATCGTTGATCGCACGGCTTGCGGGATATCGGCTGTACTGAAAGACCGCGCGTCCTCCATCCAACTGTGCTGCAATATTAACATTTCCAAATGTTCGGTATTTTACTGCATTGTCCAGATGCTCCATAGAAGATTGATGATCCCTGGCACGCTCGGAAAGATGTTTAAGATCTCTAAAACCAAATTTACACCAACGTGAGTCACGGGCGGTAGCAAAAAGTAGGCAATAAAAACAAAAAAGTGCATTTTGTCCTCGCTGTAACACAACCATTCGTGTTTTTTATACTAAGTTTCGGCGCAGAATGTACGCCGACGCTTTCCTCCGTCATGGGATTGTTCCAGTGAACAATTTTTTGGTTGATAAGGCCCAAGACGTTGTACCTCTAATTTTTGTTCCAGCGGCAGCTGCGAAAACGGAGTGCGAAGTAGTGCATCAACCTTATTCATTATGAGGTCTAAGGCTAAGAAATGCGAAGCCGGAAAGAAGTGAGGAGCTCAAAAGGAATGTGGAAAATCGAAAGCAAATGGACTAAAGGTCTCTAACTGATTCAAATAGCGAAACAAGCGACAAAAACGAAGGCGAGGAAACTATCAACTCTTCAAGCAACCAACAAACGAGAAGGAATGCGTGAATATGTCAACACGTTGTTGTAAGAAACGTCGGCATTGTGTCGTCATAATTTCGGGGCTAGCCCCGATGATTTAGTAAAAGAAACCGAAAACAAACGAGACAAACGCGGCGAGTGGAAGATAAAAGAGAGAATACGATATACAATGAGCAACCGGGGCAAAATCGGCGTCGCCCTGTCGACGTTCGGCGAAGGCTTTGCGAGCGAAAAATCAACCATGTCGGGAGAATATGGCTAGTGTAGACAGTCTGTGCAACCGATATTGAGGTATTTTTCGAATATTTTTTATTATACCGAATAAACAACCGGGGCATTGGCCCTATTGACGCGCCGCCACTGCTGTATTCCATTTATCGTAGTATCATTTCGATAAATTAAAAGACTTTTTTATTCTGTCATAATATATTGTCAGTGTTGCTATTCTAACCCAATTTAGTTGACGAAGTCGTAATTTCATTTTTCCAACTGACGACGGTTGATTCGAAGACATCAACAACACATTGATGTTTCCAAAAACAATCTAGCGAAGTTAAATATAGATTCTCATTACTACCAAATCGCTCTTTTGTTTTAAAACAACGGCGACAACCAATTTGGCTTACTATCGATCTAATCACCACCAACCCTAAACCGAAAAACTCATTGTTATATCTCCCGTTAAATAGTAGCACTGTACTTCATGTTCCGCGGTAACCCATTTTACTAAACCTAACCCGGAAAATGAGGAGCCATACCACACCCTGTAGTAGCACCGTACTTCCTGTTCCGCCTTGACCCCTTACCTCGAAAAATAGCAACAACAAACTTATTCTGTATATCTATGATAGTATTTTATAAAATTGATGTCACACAACAATCAAATATATGAAACAAATATGTAAAAAATAAATCAAAACTCAATCACATGGCCGATTTGTCATACGAAGATATTTGCCGCCGCTAGATTTAACAATGGTTTTCAGAAGTTGATATACCGGGGGCCAAAATTAGAAGCAGAGGTCAAAATTGCGGTGCGAGATTTTAATTAGGGTGAGTTTGATTTGTGATCAATAAACAACCGGAAATAGGTTTCTGGGTTATGCTAGGAATTGTGTAATTCGTATTCAATAACATATGGCTCATCGTTAGGCTTGAAAAAAGGAAAGGTATATTTTATGATTATGAGTTCAGGATGCGAGAGGCTGGGTAAAATTTATTTTTTATTAACAAAGGGAGATGGTCTGGTTACTGGGTTAGGCAGCAATATGAGTGAAACTGGTACATAATATTGTATAGGCTTTAGGGTTGGGCTAAGATGAACATTGTATTTAATAGTGAGGTAGGGGTTAGAGATAATTACAAATTGTATTTAATAACAAGGGCCAAAGCAGAGTGAATTTTGGATTCGGATGAAATGTTTCTCAGACTGCCAGGTTTGATGCAAACTATGTCTGGATATTTTTAACCTTGTGTCATATGGAAAACGAACAAACAATCTGCTTTTGCGTGATGAGTAAAGTTTACAACTATATTTTCACACTCCTCTCACTGCCTTAAACTGCTTAGTTTCATAAGGAACTTCATTAGCTGGTTAATATGAAATCAAACCACGCGACTATTAAAGCTATTTTATTCAAAATCAGAAACTAATAATGGTTAGAAATCGACGCTAATTCATTTTATATGTAAACGGTTTTTAAAGATAATAATCGCGCCCACTGGGGAATATATCGATAACAAATAGATAAAACCTTAACTTCATTAATTGAATTTATATAATATTTAACAGATAACTCATAATTATAAATCATTATATACATTGATTGTCACATATAACAGCACAACAGTGTTTTCGTAAGGCAACTCTTGATCGTCGCTGGCGTGATATTACATATGTCCAACGGCGATTGAGTCACACCGGAATCTTTCATCTGTTTCAACGTGTTCAGCCTGATTTGTTTTCGGATCAAATTTGTACAAGGCATATGTTCTGAAAAATAGATTATAATTTGCTTTGACTCAATAAGTAGAAAGGAATTCTTTATACAAAACACCTTCCAAATTAATATTTTTATCATGAATCTATGATGGTGAATCGATAAGCAACAAATATTGTTCAAAAGTTTTTCAAAGAATCGTTACCAGTGATATCATGAACGAACATAATTTGAGCGCATACTTCTTACCCTTACGCATACAAAATAAAATTCTCGTAATATAACATTCAGAAATCGGAGAAGAATTTTGCTGCTTGGGTGGGGAATTTTCTTTTTCCTCGCTTTAGTATTACTGATATTCTTTAGTTTTATTAGTACTATAATACTCATATATGGACACTTAATAAACTACCGGTACTTAGACTGTACACAAACGTCAATACGACTTACGCATAACACCGAGCAAATATCTTTGTCAGTGTCGTTATGGAATAATCCAAACATATCTGTAATGCATACTTACTCTACCATTTTTATAGTAAAATATATTTCATTGTTGAGAGCAACAACTTGGCTGAATCTCCAACCAGAATCCGGTAATTGAATTTGCAAAGATATTTGCTGCCAAGAATTGTTGTTTATATCATAGCAAAGAAGTACTCGACCACCTGCAAAGTATATACATTTTAAGAATCTGTGCACAGCAAAGTTTTTCAAACCTAAATTTATACATCCCAAAATTCAATACAGCAGCGCTGTAATGACCTAGTCATTTACCCTAACAATATGGTTACTACATACAGGGTATGTTGTATTTACATGAATAAAATTACTCTTATGTGATCTTTTTTGTTTATTAATATTTTATAGCAAAACGGCTTTATAAGTAGAAAATGTTCATGTTTTGTGATAGCATGCCACCTCACCTCTAATTACCCTGCGTGGAATCGAATCCCGTGGGGTATAATAATGCGCGACAGAGTTGCTGGAGCCGCCGTATCTGGTGGTTGACGTAACCAGTGTTACGGTTTCCTCCACCAAGTTCATGCATCTAAAACTAATAACCAAACCTGACATGACAGGTAAGAGGACAAGAAGCCGTGGTTTTCCCTATGATTGTCTTGTCAGCGTTCGTTTTTCCCTGTATAAATGCAATCCTATCCTAAGTATCCACTAAATACCAGGCAATTTATATTGACCACATGAGTGATGATCATTTTTTAGCGTCGGGTATATTTGTTTAAATATCTTACACGGGCTGTATTCTTTCTAAGCCACGGCCACCTGTGCGGAAATAATGTTACTCCAGCATCATACCTGCGATGTATATGAAATCGTTTGACTGTGCGGCAGATGCATCTCCCGTTCCTACAGGCATCGGTGCAGTGAACTCCCATTTTGAACTTTCAGGATCGAACACTTCGCCACTTTCGAAGTTTTGATCGGTTTCATCATATCCACCGAAACAATACAAACGTCCTAAAATAAAAAAAAATTTTCAGTTCCCATTCATGTATGGGCTACATGTAATATAATTGAGAGAAGAGACAAATAAATAAACAAATATTAACATAGTCCATCAAATACCCTAAACTTGTTATATTTGAGCCCACTGCGTACAAGGGATATGGTAAGGTTTGGATATACAGTATATAAATATTTCGATAAATTCTTGAAGGAAAAGTATGCGAACATATGCGAGAAAAATGAATTGTTATATGGTCTGAATGGAAGTAAACTGGAATTTAGTTCAAAGTGGTATTGTTTACACATGTTCGTAATGGAAATCTAGGGCTTGGTAAGAATTTTTATTCCATTGTTATATAATATCAGCGAGCGGATGAGTTCATTTCTTGGTACAGTCGACAGGTATGTTTGATTACAAATGGATGAATGTAATGATTGAATGGATCACGCAGAGTTATGATCTTCGTGGCAGGGTTATCACCGGGTCAATTTAAAGAAAGACTGAAACTTCACCAAATTCTCCTCCATATTTATTCACACACGCGATACCAAGATTGTATATCGTATTTTCAGTTTGTGAAAAAACATGGGCGAAGTCTATTCATAGTTTAAAGCATTATTTACCTTTGGCTGAAACAACTGTGAGTTCATTTCTTCCTATTTTCATGCTTTCCAACTCTTGCCATTCGATATTCGTTGGATCGTATCTTTCGACTGAGCTACTGTTCGATTCCCGACCACCACACACGTAGATGCATCCTAAAATGTTCCCCAAAAATTTGACAATCACAAATTATCAACCAACAGAAGAGTTGGTTTCGCCATAATCCAAAATTGATTAAACAGTCAAATCGGGGAATTTACAATATTTTACAATTGATGCAACATTTGACTAAATTTCATCTATTTTAATATTCATTCGAAGTTGAGTTGGGTGTCTTATTCCAACAGTTTTAATTTATTAAGAGTTCAGAAATGAAAATTTGGTGTTCATAGCTAAAATGTAACGTAACTTATTGATAGTGACTTGTTTGTAGACAGGGCATTTATTCAATTTATCGAATGATTGTTCTGTTAACCATAATGCTAATTAACAGGTACTAAATATCAATGGATATGTGTATAATTTTTCCACTGTATTTTACCCCTCTGATCTTTTCAAATCGCCATGTTATGCGAATTTACTTTTTTGCCACATGTCGGATTCTGTCGTTCTTTCGAATTATTGGTTCGCAATAAAGCGAGGAAATAATATTTAATAATTAGAATAATATTGCTAGAGATTAGATGCGAATATGAGCCGCGCATTTATCTTGCTAATGGCAAAACCTTGTCTGACCCAAACAAGATATGACAGGGTCATCCCTTGTGCATATTGAACATAAAGTTCCAGCAATTGAACTCCTCATTGTTGCATAGAAAGCAAAAAGTTACTGTATTCACATTTCTATCTGATTAAATACTGATTTTTCAATGTGTAGATTTGGGAATTAGATGATTTTCGTTTGCGAAATTATGTTTGATGACACTTTAAAAACTACTTTGAAACTCGAACTTATTTAACTAAGGTAGATTCAAGTTTTTATATTTTAATTTTTTTTCTAGAACATGACGCTTTTTGCTTTCGACAATTATGTCATAAATATCGCATATCTAAGCGTAAGGCTAGAATCTATATGCTTGGTCATATATTTGAGGACCGTGCATTCTTAAATTATTGAGTTTTGAAACGTATCCCATCATATGCCCCATATTTCATATTTAAATAAAAATGTTGAAAAATACAGGCCTTGCGATGGTCCCGCAAAGGTTATAATATTTCCCATTTTTAACTAAAACCCTGTTGATACTGTATCATTCTCTCACCTATTCAGCAAAATTTAAACTTTGGAACCACGGAGGAGAAATAATGCAAGAAATGTTTTGCAACCATTACTTGGTGTTTTCTGTCGCTAAAACGTGAGTATGCTGTAGGAAATTCAGAACATTTTGGAACATTCTGTACCACCGAAAATTACAATATTGTTAGCAATAATATCTTAAACTCGTATTTTTTTTATATGGCGCACATAAATGCGGAAAAAGATTTACCATTCATTGCAACAGCGGGTGGCCAAGTTCCGTGTTCGCATATCATATCCGATAATCTTTCCCATACCAGTACGAGATCAGCGTATTTTGTACAATAGACTTCACCATATTTCATTAGTACATAGAGATAATCATTCATTGCAACAATAGAATAGCCGCCGTCGCAGAGCCAGGATATTTTCTAGAAAGAAAATAATTCAAGAATATTTTGCGATAATTCAGTTGCATTAATCTTATTCCTTTATCTTACCTTCCATTCATGCCATTCCTTTGTTGCTGGTTTGTAAAAGCTGACTTCGTCCCAGGAAGACAAGATAATTACATTGTCATTGTTTGCGTTGAAGACTTTTGTTGCTCCTGTATTACGGAAATGATTAATTAAATTAAATGATTATTAGAGAAATATTTAAAGTTGTTAATTAAATTTGACGCAAGAACATATTTGTCTATCCGGCACAAGACATTATCAAGGTTTGTCAAACTAGCAAAACTTCAATCACCTTTCGCTGATCTTCGAAACAATTCATTAGCCAGAAGTTTGTCAGCCGTTGGGCGTTTTTTCAGCTCAAATTGCAACATCTTGTCGAGAAAATTTATCGCTCTGATTCGGTCGCTGAGGAGTAGATGGTCGAGGTCACGATTTTGGTTTTTCTTGATATACAAGTTCCATGCATCTGGATCTTCACCGAATGGATGTTTTCCATTACTCCATACCGCGTATATCACGAGACCCATCGAATAGATGTCGGATTTTTTGGAAATCACGTCGTCGTTATAGGTTTCCGGAGCTCTGTATCCGTCAGTACCAGCACGCATGATACTTTGGACAGTGTATGAACGACCTTTGCGAAGCTCTTTCGACAGCCCGAAATCAGATATTTTAAGCGACTTTTTATCAAGCGACAGCAAGATGTTGTCAGGCTTTAGATCGCGATGGATGACGTCGTTTTGATGAATAAACTTCAAACCAAGAAGCAACTGCTGCGCAAACGATATGGCCAGGTTGTCGTCGAATGGGACGCGCTTTTTTTCTCGATTTTGTAGAAAATCAGTGAGATTTTTCTCGTGACAAAGTTCCATAACAATGAACATTTTTTGTGTGAACGAATCCTCGTGATACACGTCGGAATGGATGATGGAAACAACATTCGGATGAAAAGCCAGCTTAAGAAGAACTTTGGCCTCCTGCAGGTTACGCTCGTTGAAATCGAGGAATTTGATCGCCACAGGTCTGGGGCCGATTACCTTGCTCACCTGCTCTCCACGATAAACATGTCTTCTTCCACACAATGGCTGATCACGGAATGCTCTGAACACTCCGCCGACAAAATCTAATAAACCGAAGGTCAATTGAGCGTGAAATCAGACAATGTATACTTTAGTTTAGTTACACATATCTTACTATCAGCATGGATTGTTATGTCACAAGCAATAAGGGTGTTTTGTGCGTTGTTCCACGGTTGTTTCCGCGTGCAAGCGCTGTTGGGTCGCATTGGAAGCCGCAAACTGGAATAGATGTTTTTCCGGACCAAGGCTGTGGAATGCGGTGCCAGTGACGCAATTTCTGACTGTTAATAGCGATAGTCTTAGGAACTCAAATGTAAAAAAGTGTTATTAACAGGCTATTATTAAAGGCTTGCATAAACCTCGATACGTCAAGAATCATCAATCTCGTAGTTCTCATTCGCCATTTTGTTTGAATAGAACTTGGGTTATGCTGTTTTGCACTGTTATTAATAAGCTGCGAAATACTGGGCTTGTCAAATCAGCTGTCAGTATTTTTTATTTGCATTAACTTGAACATTTAAATAAAAAGTGTTTATGGAGATGTGAAAAAGATGCCAACTCGATACAATACTTTTTAGGATTGAAACAAATATTTCAATTATAAAGCTTAGGAAGATTTTTTGTAGTCCACGATCGAGAAAACAAAGACAGTAGATAGGTTGCCAAAAAGTTTCTCTGCGTAGATAATTTTGTGATTTGCTTGATTACAGTCATTCTCTGTATTTATGATTTGTATGACTTGGACGTGTAAATCGAATTTTGTGTGATGTTAGATATAGCGCTGGATATTTGGTTAATTCTGTTTTGCTAATATTTGTTCGATAGTTGCTGTTCAATACTGACAATTTGATTTTTGTTTCTAGTTTTTGTGGAGAAAAATCTGTTCATGGCATGAATATATAACACAAATTTTGCTTGTGGCGTGATTGTATAATACGAATTTTTCTCATCCAGATTGTTAGGTACTCATGCATGCTCTAGACGTTTTTTATTCAGTATGTAAAATTTACATTACAGTCGCTTTAGACCAGTGCTCGTCAACCTTTTTTGTAATGGTACACCCTTTCAACCAATTCTCAAAATCTGGTACACCCCAGATACTCCAAAATTTAAAAGTTATTACGTTGACGCAATAGTTTATTATTTAGTTAATGTGACCGTTGCTCTTGGATTCCATCGGCCATTTGTTATTTTACTGGATTCAATTTCAATGAGTGCAGACAACCCTTGCTCGGAAAGGTATGTCGTAAGGCTATAGGCAATCGTACGAGAATGGTGACAGCTTTTTGTGAAAGATTGCGATACTCGGGAACTTCTAATACAGTCAAACTTCGATACGATGCCACTCTTCGGGACCGAGAGAAAGTGGCATAGTAGCGAGGGTGACATGGTATCGAGGGTTTGTAAAAACAGCCTTGTGACGTGACAATGTAATGCTTCGTTGTGTTGTACGATTATAATTTACATGTATTACAGTATAAAGTACAGTACAGTGCAGTAGTTTCGAATTCTAAAGTTTGTTTCAGATTCAGAAATCGGCCCACAATGTTAATTCAAAAGCGCAAGCGAACCGACTTTACGTTGAAGAAGATCATTGATGTCGCAAAAAAGGAACCGAATCAGTCCAAGCTGGCCAGGGAAATGAGCAAGAAATGGGGCATCGAAGTTAAGAGAACCACAGTGAAGGGAATTATCAGCAAGGAGGATGCAATCGAGGCAGCTATCAAAGCTGGAGTTCCATCGAAACGCATGAAGCTGAAGTCTCACCACTCAAAGCTTGATGACGGGGTGCTCATGTGGTTAAAGCAAGCAAGAGGACAGAATCTACCTGTCGGTGGCGATCTGATAAAGGAGAAGGCTTTAAAACTGGCCGAACTGATGCATATTCCAAACTTCATGGCGAGCAACGGTTGACTGGACATTTTTAAAAATCGCCACGAAATCACGTTCGAGACAGTGCAGAGCGAAGCTGGAGCGGTGGATTCGCAATCCCTTCTTGAATGGAAACAACATGTTCTCCAGCCCTTACTCGGGCAGTACCCTGCAGACAACGTATTAAACCTTGACGAGACTGGACCGTTCTGGCGTTTGCCAGAACAAGACCATGAGTTTCAGAGGAAAACGGTGCACTGGAGGAAAAAAAAGCAAGCAAAGGATCACACTTCTGGTTGGGGCAAATATGAGCGGCAGTGAGAAGTTCCATCTTCTGGCGATCGGCAGTTCCGGGAAACCTCGTGCCGTCAAGAACAAAGAGATTCCCGTTAAGCACAAGGCAAACTCGAAAGCATGGATGACGGCAAAGCTTTTTAAAGAGAGAGGTGTTGCGTGAGTGGAACAGACGACTTGGCCAGAAGGGACGCAGAGTGCTGCTCTGTCTTGATAACTTCTCTGGCCACCCAGAAATCAAGCTGGAAAACATTAAAACTGGTCTTCTTCCCACCCAACACGACAGCGAATTCTCAACCAATAAATCAGGGAATCATGGAGAACCTCAAGCGCCCATACAAGAAGATCTGTTTCGTCGCCGACTCGAGGCCATGGACGAGAGGAAGGAGTTCGAGTTCACATTGCTCGACGCTCTGCATAACGTTTGCCGTGCTTGAGAGCAAGTCAGCGAGTCGACGATCAGAAACTGCTTCGTGATGGCCAAGTTTATCAAAGAGGAAATCCAATCTGAGCTTAATGATGTTGATCTGCTCGAGATCTGGGAAGCGCTGCCTGCCGAGGAAAAGATGCAAGAGATCGAGCTGTCTTGCTTTCTTGAAGCTGATGAGCGCCTCGAGACTGGTGGGTTTATTTCACACTGGATGAGATTGCGGAGGAGATGTTGCGCAGCGAGAAGCCGCTTGAAAGCGAAGATGATGAGATAAACGTGGAGGAGGAAATCGTTTCGTTCGAGGAAGCCCAGCGGGCATGGAGCACTGTCCGGAAGTTCATGCAGCAGAGAAGCGGGAAGACCAGTGTGATGCAAGCATGCAATCGGCTAGAGACGACGAGGTGCATGAAATCCGCAGAAAGAACATGCGCCAGCTGACTATTTCTCAGTGATTTGTGCTGAGCTACAGTAGATAACTTGAGAGATCATATTACAAGCACATACAAATACTTTTGCCGTTTTACAGCCTTTTAATCGTTTCGTTAATACAGCAATACTGTACCTCATGTGGCGTATTAGCGAGGGTAAGGGGTGGCATAATAAATATATTTTATATTGAATTTAGTTGATGACGATCAAAAGTGGTATAGTAGCAAAGTGGCATAGTATCGAAGTTTGACTGTAGTGCGTTTTTATATGTTTTGAACACCATGCCTTTTGTACAAGATCTGATTATGATTCACGCAGTTCACCAGTTATGTGTTCAAGAGCAACCTTTTTACTTGTGAATGACTGAACGACTCATATCAGAGAACGAAGATTCTGATATTCAACATCCGGAAAATAGGCTCCGAAGTTTAGCAGTAGCATATCAAGATGCTTGTCGTGTTCCCCCAAAAATAAGACGGGGTCTTATTTCAATTTTCTCTCTAAAATTATCACTAGGACTTATTTTGAGGGAATGTCTTTTATTTTCATTTATCAAAAACAAAATTACAAAGTGGAGAATTACGATATTTTCTAATATGCTTACTCATAATACCACGTCTTTATTAAAGTAACTGGAACTGCTAAATATAGATTATTAGTCATGCATTTGAAACGTGTATGTGTCTTGCTATCGAATAGGTCAAAATAAAATTCGCGCTATCAACTAGGACTTATTTTAAGGTGAAAAATGAAACCAGTAGCCTACAGTAGTTCGTGTATTTCTCTGTAAGTTATAAAATATAAACCCAATGTAAATTCTCTATCAGCGGTAATGCAGCAGCAGAAGTCTCAGTGTTATAGAATAAGAAAGGTATCAAATCTATTTGTCGGATTGCTATTTTCCCGATTAGTGAATAGGATAGGATTTACATATTTATCCCGGGGGAGAGGAAAGCCGATAAGACGGCTTATCCATATGGCGAACCACGGCCTCTCGTCCGGTTACCATTCCAAGTCGGGTATGGGATTAGTTTTTACTGTATTGTTTGTTTTCGGAAGCATGGACTTGGTGGTGGAGGAAGCCGTAACCGACCAGCGGTTACGTGAACCACCCAACGACGGCGAGGAGTCCAGCAACAGCAATCCTCTCGCACATAACCATCCCTGCATGGGATTCGAACCTGCGAACCCACGCAGAGTAATTAGAGGTGCGGTGACGAGCGTATTCCTAACGCTTAGCCCGTTGAGCCACACCGCCGCGCCTGTCTGTCTGTACATGTTTAGAAGATTTATTATTGTGTATCTCTGTTTTGAAAGTGACAAAGCATCGTTTTTAATTTTAATGTTGGTCGGCACGCGGAACAATATTGTCGTTAAATTTAGCCGATTTTGGCACGCGAGCCGAAAAAGGTTGCCCACCCGTGGACTGGATATATGTTAACGCTGTTCGCTGCAGAGTCTTGTCATTTGTGAGTCACATAAAGGACACCTTGCGGCTGCTTCTTGGTGACACCCACGATATTTGCAGTGGCGTGCTAGGGATTTAGTCGGGACACATTTGATACCTGAATTTGTAAAGTCATAAACATATATATATATAATTTGCACAGCAAGAATACTTATTCTGGCTTTTGGGATTTTTTTTATGACGTCAAGCTCAAATTTGTTATGAAAGAAAGATGAGGTTCCTGAAGATGAAGAATTATTCCACCTTGATACACTATTGTTCGTGCACGATGGTTGTCCAGAACAAATCGAATATTTGAATAGCAAAGTATTCAAATACCTCTTCGGCTGATTTTCGAATAATAGCCACTTTCCGCCGTCAGAGAGGCGTTTCGTTTTTGAGGGAAAACTTCAAATGATTTTTTGCGCTTTGTCATGTATTATAATGACGATGAAATAGAATTGGCACTTCGATTGTTTGTTATATTCTGTGCGACCGTGCGCCTCATATTGTTGCGTCACTTTGGCGCAATTGCGCGATTGACATTGCATTCCCTTGCAAGGCTTTTTTTTGACACATTTGTTTGCATTATGTCGAAAAATTAAAAATTATGTCAAGTCGCAATTGTTACCAAACCCAATAAATTGTCGGAATTATTAGAAAATATAATTTATTCCTAATCTTGCTTTATGGCCAACAATTTTGATAATAATAGTTATAAGTATCTATTTATATTAGGATGATTTTCTGTTGCGTAGAATATTCAGATTCCAGCATTTGAAATGCCTTGTGGTATTACTTTAGTTCTGTTCAACTTAACTCATAGTCACGAAAAAATAAAAACATTAGCCATTTACTCTAAAATACCACGGCAATCTGTGGACATGAAATGTGTGATAAACTGCCCAATTATAATTAATTTTGGTACTTGAAATTAAAGCATTACTTCTATTTGAAAGAATATTTCTATTTCTAGTAAATTATTCGGTATTGAACATCCTTAATCGAAGCGTATTGCTGCAAATAAGAGGTCAAGTCGAATTATTAGAAAACATTTGTCTTTTTATCACGCGTCTCGCATAGATCCAACTATGGTCAACTATTAAATAAGTTAAATAAAGTCGTGCGCTTTGTTACAAATTACGACACCCGATAAATAGTCGCAAGTCAATAAAAAAGTTGACTTATTATGAAAAAAATGTAGCTTTTTTTCCACTTATTGGCAAATAATTTTGATAATGATAGGTAAAAGTTTTAACTTTTTACTAGGATGATTTTCTGTTGCGCAAAATATTCAAATCCGTGAACAATACCAGCATTTAAAATGTCTTACCGTATTAATATAACTGTTTATTGCATCGACTTACGAAAAAATAAAAGCATTACTATTGTAAAATGTGGTGGCAATCCGCGGACATAGAATGTGTGGTAAAATGTCCAATTATATTTAATTTTTGATTTGTAGTTTCGTGTTTACGAGAAAATAAAATCATTACTTGTATAAATTACCACAGCAATCTGTGGACATGAAATCCGATTACAATTAATTTTTGACTCGAATTTTCATACTCACAGAAAAAAAGCATTACTACACTAAATACCGTTGCAATCTGGGGATATAAAATGTGTAGTTAACTGCCCAATTATAATTAATATTGGGTTCATATTTTCGTACCTACGAAAACATAAAAGCAATACTATAAAATATCACGACAATCTGTGGACATAAAATTCCTCGCAAATAGCCAAGTTGCAAATAACAGATATTCCATTGTTTTTTGTATGCAAGTTCCTTCATACACCAAAATAGGCTTCTTTTACCTAAAATTTATTTTCGAATGTATTCGATATTCCATATTCGAAAATATTAATTTCAAATATATTGGAAATAGTGAAATATTCGGTATTGGCCATCTCTGTAAATGCACCTATCTACCACGGAATCTCAGCTACGTATTAAGAATGCTCTTACCTAGGCGTAATACCTCGTATAGAATTACTATACCTTCATTAGAATCTATGTTTCTGTATCCACGAAGAAGAGCTCGAATCTTTGGAACCGTTGCCGAGGAACCTAAATGTACAACCATACAAATTTTGAACAAACCAACCGAAAAAATTGAAACACATCGCTCGAATGACAAAAATGTGGGCTCCCTAGTCTAATTAAAAATGTTGTTTCCGTCTCAAGCTATTAAGAAATTTCGTTTGCAGAAACGCCTAATATTTTACAGGTAAAAGGATAGATGTTGGGGGTTAGACACGACTTAAATAATTCCTCATCGATTTAACCAAATGATTTATTTCTGGATTGAAGTTTCAGTTAGAAAATGCAGATATTCACGTCATACAGCGTGGGCCAATCAAGAGATATGCGTTTCTTTTTTGAGTATTTTTATACGGAATTTCTCGTTGCTAGAAGTTTTCAATATAAATTTAATTTCGCATAGATCTCCTATTTTGAGGAAGATCCTATTATATCTAAATAAAACTGAAAAACTTTTCAAAAATAAAGATATTAAAATCCATAAATAAATTCCACCTTCATTTTGCTTCCACTTCATCAGCATTTGCATTTTTTGCTCTTCAACCGATTCTCCATGGTCTTCGACAATGTCAGCAATCTCCTGTTGGTCTAAACACAGCCCGGCGCTGGATCGAGCGAATCTTTTAAAGTTGACGATTTTAGGAAAAGCTTGGACGATCTCTTCCTGGAATACGTCCTCCAGGCGTTCTAAACGATTAGATGATTATTTGATAATTTTATTATAGCGTTTCACTCTAATGTTTTGACTTTAAATTATGTTTAGGCATTGTGGTTTGCTTACGAGTAAGACTTTTAAAGTTTAATGTTTTAACGTAGGAAGAAATGATATAAAAAAATCTGTAATTTGTTGTCACCGTACCTGATGGATATTTTCTTGCCATGTTATTTCTCTTCAATATATTTTGGCCAACGTAACATAAAACATTTATACGAACAATTAAATTACACTTATGAAAAGTCTGAAGAAAATAAGATGAGAGTATTTAACGGCAATCTAAAGATTTATATTGCAGCCCTTGTCTCGATTGTCGACAAATAATTAAAACTACGTACGGTAAGAGATCCGAATAACCTGTTATGCTGTGCTATCAATTGCACAATAACATTTATTAAAAAAAATGCCATTTAGTTTTCCTTTCCAGACTCAGCCTGGGCACTCACGTATATTTTTTTCACAATTGAAGTTATTTGGTGATTATTGCAGCACTTACGAAAAATTATATATATATATCAAATTGGTGGCGACAAATATGATACCAACTTTGGCTCACAAAGATGCCTTGCAAGGCTACATCACTTTAAAATTCCCGAAATATTTGGAGTACTCTATCATACACATGGGGTACTTGACAGAATGTTCCTTTTAAATGAACTCATTTATTTTGTGTGTGTAATTTTGACTATACCAAATTTTCATATCCATGATATTTCGAGTGACTTTTTCATTGGTCTGTTAAGAACGTTCTTAATGAAATAAAAATAATTATAAAGAGTTTAAAACTGACATGGGAAAGCTACGGCCCGCGGGCCAAATCCGTCCGTCTGATGCTGTCATGGATTTCTACTTTTAACCAATTCTGCATGCACTACATAGTTGTTGTTATTGAAATCAGTGTGGCGCAATAACCTTAGATCATGATCGTAGTCTGTGTAAATTGTATTTCAAGTTGACAACTGCCAACAACCAAACTAAAACCAAATTTTGATGTTTTAGCTTAAAAATAGCTCAAGGAATTTGTTGAGATTGCGATTAAATTCAGTTTTAGCACGAGGTATATTGTTTTCCAATTTTGTTTTTGGAACAATGTAAATAAAATTCCGTTTATAAAATGTCATTTTGTTACGTCACACTGACACGGCCCGCTAGTCTAGGTGGGCAAAAAGTTTTTGCTCTGGCTTAAAAACTTTGACTACCCCTGGTTTAATTGTTGCTAGGGGGGCTGAAATAAATGTTACTGCAAAGTTTGACGTCGGTGGGATTTCGATCAAATTACATTCAAAATCGGTTCATTTTACGAATTTCTCTGTTATAGTTCAGTTCGTATTATGATAAGCGCGCAGATATCAAATATTGATCTAAACAGGGGTTCCCTAACTTTTTCAGCTTGCGGTACACTAACAACAAGATTGAAAAGTCGCGGCACACTTATTACGTATCAGTTTTGTTAAATCCCTTATCTGTAAATATTATTCGTTTCGACAGTAAATAAGATTTAAACAAGATTTCGCGGGTCAATTGTCCCAATTCTTGATCGTTTTTAGCTTTTAATTTCTGTCAGTGCAGAAAATTAATATATGCAAAATCATGAAAATGTAAAATCATTGTTGTACTATATATATTGTTTTGCATATGTTGTACTGATATACAGACAGAAATTTCGCGTGGCGAAATTTGTGGTAAAATTAAGAACTCTAAATATTTCATGTTAAAAATGAAATGTGAAAACATGACATGTAAAAAATTATGAAAGTACTATCACTCTAAGAGTCTCTCCAAGTTCAAAACTGCTGACAGTTTGGGAAATATTGTTAAGTTGGAGTCTAGCGACTTTGCTTTGAGCAAACTTGCATTGTTAGGTTGGGGTCGAAAACTTTTAACGCCTAATGTATTCAGATATTAGAGAAGTGTGGCATATTACATCACCTATCGGTGGACATATAATAATACATTATTATGCAGGGGAACCCAAAAAAACGGAACCCATACAGTATGTTTCGATGGACGGGGTTCCGTTTTTGAATCACCCTATATATGTGTGGTACCGAACTACATCCATTACTGATTTCAATTTAATAAAGTTCATGTTGCAGTTATGACTATTGTAAAAAAATACAGGAATTTTGTGAAAATTCGCGGCACACTTTTAATACCTTGGCGGCACATTAGTGTGCCGCAGCACACAGTTTGGAAAACCTTTAGATTCTAATTCTTTTAACAAAAATGTGTAAATTTTCGTGCATTAAAGCGTGTTTGTAGTGCAAGAAAATCTCATTAGATTGTCTCAATACTACTTTTAAAAACTAAAATTAATTTGTCATACTTCAAGTTTGTAACGTCACGAGGCTGATCACTGGGTTGGGGAATATGTAGCGGGTCCATTAGTTAATTTTAAACTAGAATAATTTCTGAATGCATAAATGATTCGTGTAGTAAATGCGAGTGTAGCTTTTATTTTGGAATATTTTATTTTAAAATTAAATTCAACATGCTGCAATGCGGTCATTTCTTAATCTCAACTTCCTGATTTTCTAAACTTTTAAATTTTCAGAATCACGGCATTTTAAATATTCCGAACTATTTCATTAAGTGTTACAAATACGCCTGAAATGAGCTCGGATATGTTGCCAATTTATCTTTTTTAAAGACGAAATCGATGATTAAAAGTGCCCGAACGCGCCGAGGGACTAGATTAAAAGTAGTCGCGATTGGAGGGCGTAATATGACGTCATATTTTTTGTAATACCTCGTGGATTTGCAACATTGCGTTTTTCATTTATTTATTATCATCTATCATTAAATATGAGACTGTATTTGAAAATTCATTTGTGACTTCTTAATTCATAAACCTCCTTATCTCGCCACTCCCTAGTCGAATTTTAAAAATATTTTTAATTAGCATTTGTCACCTAACCAAGATGGCTTGAAAGGTCATTGAAGGCTTGTTTGAATCGTATTATTGTCTTCTATACGCAAGAGGTCGCTAATGGACCGCTCCATGTACGAAATTTTGCGTACGTGAGAAAATTCATCGACGATAGTAAACAAACATTCGAACCTCTCTCCTTTATGGCCGTTGAACCGTTACTTATGATAGCGGTACTCTCTCGCAAGCGTAATAGTCGTTTGGCTGTTTGTTTTCCTAACAAAATGATATAACAGGCAATGGTGTAGCGCAAACAGCTGCCGAGTAACGAAGCGGTATATATGTGAAGTCAACGCAGTTCTTGTTTGTTTATTATTGTGCGGGTAATTATTAGTGCGTGTTTACGCGAGGAAAATGAGCGCTCGGCTGCGCAAATTACTTTCTTTCAAGTAATAACGTATTCCTTTGTATGTTTCTTAGCTTTCAAATATCTACAGATATAAAACTCGTAAAATTGGAAATATGCCAAAAAGGAGTGACGCACAACCCGGGTGCAAAAACACTCGGACAAGCCTATATCATGCTTAAAAAAGGCGCGAAAATGTCTTATTGGTTTTGTTTTGAGTTAAGTCCATAAAAAGACGTGTACACAAAGAATGTTAACTCTTAATGACCAATCATATTAGAGCCATATTTATATTTATAATAAGTCTCATCCCGGAATAACAGGGAAACAAGAATTTCAAAATCATATCATGACGCCAATGTAAATTATCGCAGAAACCAATATGTATGTACAAAAGATTCTCAAGTTAAATATAAGATACCGAATATGATAAAAAATACGTCACAAAATTCCAATATTAAAAAGCACACCTCGCATTATGCATTGGTATAAACATTGCCTCGTTATTGTGGTTTTGAGAGTTTCATTGTCAGTTTTCAGATATATATTTCAAAAATAAATTAAATAACTTGATTGTTATCATGTCTTTCGAGGAGCTTTAGTTCACTTGCAACATTCAAAAATGCGTCCCGCAAACGCTACGTTAGACTAGGCTAGTACGTAATGAGTTATCATTACGTACGTGTTAGTCGCATGTGGTTTAATCTGATTATAAAAAATAATAGTTTATAACCACTTTGTAATCGCCAACCCTCCAAAACACTCCCAAAATGTATAAAACAAGAGAGCTATGCTCAAATATATGGACACGTAGCGCCACATAGTGGCAAATTTTGATGACGTCACAGCACACAAAAAACGATAAATAAAAGTAAGAGCCTCCTAGCGAAAAATATAATTTTTACTCACTAAAAATTTCAAAGCAATTGGTCCAGTAATCTAAGAGAAATTTTTTTTTCAAAACGATACAAAGAAGAAGAAGAACAACAAGATTACCAAAAATATGAAAACGATGCATAGGTCCACTCACGTGTCCAATTATATTCGTGTGTAAAAATACTTTTACAAAACAAAAATTCAGTTAGGATATCGTTGATTTCAAAGTTCACTTAATAAACAAAATTGTTTGTCCATCTCAACAGGGTAAAAGTAAACATTACACGAAAGGCAAAGATTAATCTAAAATAACGAAATATGCTTTGAAAATCGTTACGACATCGTCACATCGCTAATTACCCCCATGTGCTCGCATGTTTAAATGTCTTAAGAATACGAGCTCTTTTTTTCTTTCAAATGTGTAATTTTATCCATCAATTATACTCATCGCCAACCTGGGCCTTGACGATAGGGCTTGGCTTGCTCTGTGATTGAGCAATGTTATAACTTTTTCACTCATTCGGAATAAAATTAAACATTTTATTAGTTTTTTTCCCACATGTTGCATACACAAAATGGCGGGTGGCCATTTTTGACAGCACAACCGTTTGTGCGCGCAAAATCCGCAGGATTCATTGTTTTTTAAATACAAATACACATACAAAAAAGTATCACTTCGTTGTCAAAGTTGAATATAAAAGAGTTCCACATTCAAATGGCGGACCATATTTTTGCGATTGTGCATTATGATGTCGCAATAAGGAATAAAGTTACCGTCGGGAGCGCCAAACGACATTATTCCGCCATAGTCACGCAAATACGAAGCGACTGCGAACATTCTGCGGTAAGGTATCTGGACACATTTGTGCGTTCTAATTGAACATAAATTTTTTTATATTTGATTGTGTCCAGTAATAAATGACAATAAATTGGCAGCCCTGAAATATAGTAATCTGTGGTGTCAGTAAACTAGCGCCAGCCACAGGATATGTATCGTATTGTAATACTATTTAGTTAGCTCTATCATGATTTGTCAAATGCAATCCTGGGATACTCAGAATACTCCCGCAGATAAGAATGTTGACTTATCACTTGTG